GTGTGTGTGTGTGTGTGTGTGTGTGTGTGTGTGTGTGTGTGTGTGCACATTACAAGTGGAGGCCAGAGGGGAACATCAGATGCCTTTCTCTCTCACTCTCCTTACTGCCTAGAGACCAGGTTTCTCCCTGAGCCTAAAGCTAGCTGACAGCCCGCAAGCCTCAGTAGTCCTCTTGTTTCTGTCCTCCCACAGTGGACTTCCAGATCCACAAGCATGCCCAGTTTCTGAAGTGGGTGCTGGGGATTAGAACACAGGTCCACATCTTGCACTGAGCCATCTCATTAGCCCCTTAGCCATGGAAATGACCATGCTGCTCACTGGCTTCCATGTCCTTTGCACCGCACTGGCTACCTGAGGAGTGTGTGCTCACTCCCTGTGGCTGTAACAATACAACACAAATGTGTCGTCACACAGTTCTGGAGGCAGAGACCAGAGCTAAGTCTTACATGGTGTGGGCAGGGCCACTTACTTCTGGAGGGAACACGTGCCTTTGTCTCTTCCCATTTCTGGAAGCCCCCTGCATCTTCCGGCTTGCAACCCAGCCTCACACATACCTCACACCTTTCCCCCACACCTGCCCTCACACCACTCTTCTCTTTGCTACAATTTTCTTTCTGTTTCACCAAAGAAACGTGCCATTGCTTTTAGCCATGATCCAGATGGGTAGAGGATCATCACCACATCCTAACATCTTCCCCCAAACCACAACTGTGATGTCGACGACATTGGCAGGTTCTGTAGATGAATACGCATGCCTCCTTAGGGGCTAGGTGATTTGATACTGCCAAGTCCTGATGCAGAGCCTGGGAGGTGGGCCCACATGCTTCTGTGAGGTTTGGGGCCCAGACCTAGCCCAGGACGGTCTCCCTTGTCAACCCTCTGCCAGGGAGTAGCATAGAATCCTAGGACCTGTGCCCTGCTAGGGCAGGTGCCAGGAGCTCCTTGATAAGCTCAGAATAGTTGGTGTCTACCAAGAAGACCAATAAGGGGTATGATAAGAGCTTCCAAGCTGGGAGGCATACCTCCTCATTCTCACACTCCCAGTTTCCCAGCTGAGAGCTAGCCAGATCCTGCAAGAAAAACGGCACCATAGCTCTGGCTTCAGTGATTAATGTGGTCTGAGCCTGGCGGAGTCCCCAATCCATCAAGCCTGCATTGTAGCCTGCCTGCTACCACCAATGTGTCTAATTATACAAGCAGCATGCGGCAAATGAGGCCCCATGTCATCTCCCATCAGTAGACTCTAAGCCACCGCCTGCCTCTTGGAGTCACAAGGCCCTTTGCTTGCTGTGGGGTTCAGGTGCTGCTCTGCTCAGCCCCCTTGAGCCCCACACTACCTGAACACCCAGACCCCTGCCCATGGCTCTTAGGATAACTCCAAGGAGTGGAGGACCCCAGTGTGCAGGCTCTGAGTCTAGTGCCCCCAGCGCCCCCACAGGACTGTCTCGGTCTTACCCAAAGGCTTGCTGTTGTCTCAGTCCCGCCAGGCCATCTGCCAGTGCAGAAGAGGTGTCCATGCGAACCAGCAGGCCTCATTTTTCTCATTTATGAAGCGGGCATGTCTACTAGTCTTAGCTTTCAGACTAGAGGCTAATGAAGCCATGCTGACCTAAGCCGCTATGAAGGGAATGGCAAGCCCCTACCAATAGTTTGTCTGCGAATCAACAACCCACCCCTTACAGACTCCCCCCAAGTGCTGAAACTACAGGAGAGTGGCAGACGGCATTCTCAGGTCCCCAAGGAAGGTTTCAGACCTCAGGCTGCCAGACTCAGGGACATCAGAGGGCTTCAAGTAGATGGGACACTTTCCCCACTTCAGCCACATCCTTGTAGTCTTACATCCCCTCACCCAAAACAGGTCCACCCTGTGGACCACCCATCAGCTATGTGGCAGAAAACCTCTGTTCCTCTGAGACCTTGAAGAAGGGAACCCCCACTCCACCTTGCGGTCCCTAAGACTCCTCACAGCTTTTGCCATGTTGCCATCCGTCTGTCTGTCTGTCTGTCTGTCCATGGTGCCAAAAAACCCTCAGTCTACCTTATATTCCCCTTGAACGCCACCCTCAAGACCATTCAATGATTTTAATAGTAGAGTCCACCAAGTTGTCCTTTTGTAACAGCCTATTGATCTGTGTGGCTGTGGTGATGCATGTCTGTGAGGGCTCCTATGAGGGGGCCAGAGAACAACCTCAGCTGCTGTTCCTCAGGAGCTGTTCACCTTGTTTATTAACATAGTGTCTCTCACTGGCCTGGAAGACCCCAAGCAGTCTATTATGGCTGGCCAATGAACCCTCTGGCTCTGCCTGTCTGCCTCCCTAGCATTGGGATTACCATGGATTATCCTTCTCTATCGTCCTCCTCTTCCTCTTCCTCCTCCTCCTCCTCCTCCTCTTCTTCAACAAGGTCTTTTAAGCCCAGAGTTTACCATTTCAGCTAGGCTTACTGGCCAGCCAGTTTCTAGGATCTTCCTGTTTCCACCCCCAACACTGTCTTGCAGACACTTGTCACCATAAGTAGCTGGTCTTTGCTACTTTGTGGGTTCTTCTTTTCCCACCCTTTATCCCCTGGTTTTACCCTCTATCACTAGATAGGAGACAGACAGACAGACAGAGAGATCCTTGAATCTAATTTCTTTCCTTTTGTTTCTTCTTTGACCATGGCTACTAGCAAACCACAATCAACCTCCCTAATCAACCAACAACCACAAACACCATCTCTTGGGGCTCTAACATTTATTTACCCTCTGAAAAGTTCCCAGAATTCCAAACGTCACACAATCACAGAAGCTAACTGCGGCTGGCAAAACCACATCTCTGCTAGAGCATGAGGCAAATCATAGTCAGCTGTGGCACACAATTTGAAGCAGCCCCTTATCCCCACACCTGGGATTAAAATGAAAACACATTCTTACAACATTTCTGTGTTTTTTAAAGAAGGCAGTATTCCAGAATTATCACTGTCACCACATCCAAATTTTCTGTGAGTCCTGGGGATCTAAACTAAAGTACTAGTGTTTGCTCAACCTGCGCTTTTGCCCACTGAATCATCTCCCTGGCTGCTCAGCAACTTTTTGGGGGGCAGGGGCATTGAAACAGGGTCTCACTAAGTTGCTCTAGCTGGCCTTTAACTCAGGGATCTGCCTGCCTCTGCCTGCCAAGAGCTGAGATTAAAGGTGTTCAACCCTCCCCCTTT